ATGGTAATGATTAAACTTTAAAGAGCCTGGAAATTGCAAAATTGATGTGTTTCGCTTTTAATCCATTTTTTGACTATGATACAATCGAAATGTTGGCAAACGTCGCAGTAAATAATTTTTTCTTCTTGATAATCAAACATGCAGGGGGCTCATTTTTGTCCAATCAAGTGGTTGTTAAAATGATAACGCCCCTCCTTCACTTCCCAAATAGCAAGAAGCAAATCAACCATAGACTACAGCCAAAGATGTTATGTAAAAAAACAGCTCGATTTTTAGTGACAGCCTTCAGTGTGCGCCCTAAAGTGTGTTGAGATAGACTGGTCAAATGTGTGGTTTTGTATATGCTGAGTATAGGCTTTGTTTTCGCAGGAACATATATGACTGGATTTTGATGTTTATTTATTAAATTTTCAGGTAATATACAAACAAGTGAAAGGTACAGGAGGGGGGAGAAAAACTGAAAGAATAGTAATAATAGTAATAGTAATAATAATAATAATAATAATAATAATAATAATAGTTTAATTAAACAAAATTAAAAAAAAATCCATGAAACTAGAGATGTTGTATTTTCATATTTGACATTGAATCAACTCTCTAATGAGTATGAAAGTTGTTTAAATCCATGTGCCCAAACCCAAACCCATGAAATAAAACATCTTTGCCGTGTAAAACACAAGTAGTCCAGTTAAACATATTCATAGGGTTATATAAGTATAACCCTGGGCCATAAAGACTTTGTAAGAGTTTTGTCTGTTATCCAGTTCAGAAAAACAGAATTTCTTGCACAAAATGTGAGTAACTTGCAAAGGTTTTTAAAATGTTTGTTCATATAAATCTCGCCATCCATCACTAGCAGCATATGCTTTGGGTCACAACCAATATTAATGTATAATATACAATTTCTTGTTCAATCATGGCCTAGAACTTTTGAATTCCCAAATAAACTGTTAATTTATGAAAATATGCATTCAATTGTTGTTATGCTCTCGGTTCAAGATAAAAGGAAATTCGCGCAGTGTTCAAAAAGCCAAATGAAATATGTTATTTGCATTGCTATTACTTTTTTGCATTTTAAATCTTTAATAATCTAGAATCAATATTTGCACACAGAAAGCGCGTGCTTTGAGTGTGTAAAAGTCTTTAAGTGTTGATTCTTAATCTAAACCACAAAAACAACCATTTTATTTACACATAAATAATAACTTTATTTGCACACAGCCCTGCTTTACACTCAAATACCGTTCTTTGCGATCTTTATACGCAGTCGCAGATTGAGTCCTACAGAAAATGCAAAACTACATTTATTCGTGCTTGAAAAAGCTGTCTTTGTAAAACACAAATATCCATTTTTAATCGGTAAACTATGTGCAGATCTGACGCGGAATAAATATATTTGAATAGAGGAATTGTTATGCTTTAAATATTCTGCTAAAATAGCTTCTTGTGAATGAAGGTTTGTCGACATCAGAGCTTATATTTATGGCTGCTGTAGGGAGAATTAAAGATTCAGATGTCATGGCCAGAGGTCAAGAGCTGCATCTTGGTTCAAATTCCGCCACTAATTTAATAATTGAAGTCTAATTAAATAAACGCACGCTTAAGCCAAGTTCATGTTTGTGTTTAAAGCAAATCATTTACTTTTTTTTTTTTTTTACAAAATCACAACTCCATGTCTGTCATTTTAATTGAAACAGTCAGCTAACCTTTAGTTTATAAATATAAAGTCCAATGTACGACATTCTCTTGAAGTGAAACAGCGAATGTCCCTTTATGGAAATGTGTTGCTATTTCTTGCATTCACGTTTAATTTATTTCTCAGAATTAAGAGTCAGAGCTTAAAACTTTAAATAAAACGACATAATTCATATCCAAATATTTGGTGAAAACAGGAACACAAAGGGGCTGATTCTTTTACCATATTTGCCTGCAGTTGGGAGTTTATACTGGAAACATTTTAATAACATTTTAATAAATTTGGTGTTTAATGAAAAGGCTTGCAAAACAACCAAGTCAAACTTATAAGTTACCCTCTAAAAATTATTCTACATTTAATATACACTCCTAAAAATAAAAGGTTTAATAAAACAACGATTATACGTATAACATTTATCATCTTGCAATTCCAAAAAAAGCCTATAGGTTCTTTACAGTAAATTAAAAGTGTTTATAGATTAACTTAAACAAGATGTTTACAGGAAGGTACTTTGGGGAAAAAAAAAAATCTTCGTAACCCTTTTGAATAATTTATATAATAATCTCTCGACAGTACATATAAAAGATTTTGCAATATCTACTCTTCATTGAAACAATCATATCTGAACAGAAAACACAACACTCCAAAATCCAATTAAAACCAGGAATTAAAAAGGATAGTTCACCCAAAACTGATCATCCTGTCATCACTTGTTCACTATTTACTTGTTCCATACCTGACTTACTTTCTTCTGTTGAACACAGAAGATATTTTAAAGAAAGCTGAAAACATGTAAGCTAACGATTGACTTTAAAGGTATTTACAGGTTTTGAGTTTTCTTCAAAATATCTTATTTTGTGTTCAACAAAAGATAGAAAATCATATAAGTTTGAAACCACTTTGTGGGTGAGTAAATATTATTTTTTGTAGGATGGACTATCGCTTTAAACCATGAATTAAAATCCTGCAATAATGTAAACAATTGTCTGAATTATGCAAAGGCACCACTTTTTATATTATATAAACCTAAACCCATATAAACATTTTAATTGTCACAAAATGACATACAACCTGAAAAATGGCAACAAAAAATGCTTCTTTCACACTCTCACAGTCGCATTTCTTTTTTATTTTTGTAGAAAATAAGAGAAACAACCAGTCAACAGATTTAGCAAACAAGTTGTTTAAAATCTCGACGGATCATCATGATTGATGAACTGACAGGACAGAAAAGGCCACGGCGTTCCTCTTCTTCTGTTCACTCTGCCAAAATCACGGGAACGCCAAGATCTCGCATGCTTTTTGGACTGCACCAAATAACGGAACGGTCTATTAAAAACAGCTCAGGTTGACACACATAGCCTACACTCAGTTTTCTTGCTGCTTAATCAAACTACGTTTTAAGATGAGCTTAAACGAAATTTTTTATTTTTAGGGATAACTTAATTGTTTTATGCTGAATCAAACGTTAACTAAATCGACTTGCATTGAGACGAGATGAAGGGATTGTGTGGGGAACCCATCATTTTTTAACACTGCTTCATTTTCAGCGCCCATCGAACAGGTCTCACATAAAATGAATTCACTTTAAAGGACTGAATCTAAGCAATATTTTACAGGCTTAATTGAAAGGTTTCCCACGTTTCTGTAGAAGTGAGTTTTCTCTGAAGCGGAGGTGAATTTGACCCGCGGCTCCAGCGCTTGTTGACACACAGTGACTCAGAAGGCAGCGGCGCGGAGCAGGTACAGAAGACAGAGAAAGCGGCTTTATAGATCCAGTGCTTGAGAGAGAAGGATACGAAGGGTTGTTTGTGGAGCCCGGGGCCAGTGAGGACCCTTAGGAGTGCACAACCCGCGGTTTAGGCTTCAGCTTAGTCGCAAATGTTTTTGCAATTAATATATTAGAAATTAGTTATCAAATGCAACTCGACATTTTGCACATTTCTGCACTGTAAAATATTCTTGTGCCTTTATTTTTTGTTGAAACAAATGAACTTTTCAAAACATCTCAACTTATATCAATGAAACTGACTAAATTAATTAAACTTTGTATAACTATGTAAAATAAGCTAAAGGAACATAAAAAAAATATTTGTTGTCTGGACTTTTTGTCATTATATTTTTGAAAGTGTGGTATTATGGAGTGGTAGCTATAAAAGGCTGTTATTATAAATTTATTTAAAACGTAAAAACCATAAAATAATCAGTTGTTGTATTGAAAAAATATGGTTACATTTGACAATATGCATCATAATCAAACACAAAGTGAATGCATGAAGTAATGTATTAACTAATATTAGCATTTGCATTTGTTAATCTTTGTTAATGTTAGTTAAACTGTTTTAGATAGCCTACATTTTTCCTGAAAATAATATATCAAATAGCCTATGGGTGACATACTTATTCTGACCTGTGCTTATTGAAATATATTTAAAATGCAAGTGATCACAGGTTATATATTTATTGAAAATGCGATGTATTTTTTAATCTATAAATATGTAAAGATAGACAGACAGATAGATGTCTATTGAATTTATGATTAAACATGTTTGCATAAACAATAAATTAAGAGGCATGAAAAAAACAAGCATTAAAAAAATTAAACGGTGCTTCAAAGCACTCAAGGTGGTTCCTGGTCATTCCTAATAAGAGGGTTCCTCCAGGAACCCCTGAAGTGCCTCATAGAACTGCCCCTTTTGAAATGGTGCCTTGAAGATCTTTAGAGGGTTCGGCCGTGTATTGCAATGTGAAGAACCCCAAAAAGTGCCTCCAGGAACCTTTCATTTTTAAAGTATACTGCATTTATTTTATTTTAAACTTCGGCCAACTTGAAAGAAATAATTTTTTAAGAATACTGATACTATATATATATATATATATATATATATATATATATATATATATATATATATATATATATATATATATA